AGATTTCCAACAACGTTTTATACTGTAGTACTTCATACCCTTTGATGGTTCAGCTGTTTTTACTTTTATTACTTCATCTAATATATATGAAACATTTCTTTCCAGCTTGAGGATGAAATTTGCAAGTACGCTCAACTATGTGGACAGTGTGAAACAGAACTGCAAATTCTTGAATCCAAGCAATCAAACATTAAACTAGATATTTCCAATTTGGAAGGTCAGATATTTGTTACATGCACCATCTTCATTAAGTGAGCTACTAGTTACGAATTCCTATGTACCGTTCTCTTGCTTGAATTGTCTCTAATAAAAGAGTAGTCTTGAGCCTAAAACACATCTCTCGAATTAAATTTTGCAAATTTGTTAAGTAGGAGATGCTAATTAGACTCTTCTGATCAAGTTTCCCCTTCTGATCAAAGTGGTTTCAGAGCAGAACAGAAACCTCCAGCTTGTGACCTCTAATTTACCACTTCGTTGAGTCTATCAATTGTCTTTTTGAGATTTTACTATTGGTCCTGTATCATTAAACATGGTTCTTGGCGCATAATCATACTGCAGAATCTCTGGGACTTCATTCGTCTCTGAACTCTTGCTGCACTCAGGAGTTAATTAAGGAGCAAATTTACGGTATGAATGGCTCAGCAGCATCCATTGCCTGCAAATTGATTGAAGCATCATCACCGGAAGCGCAATGTCATGAATTTTCCAAAGACATACTTGGCGTGGTTGCACTGCTTGGGTTTGCTGAAACCAATGAGCTTAGCAGGTTCGCGCATGGTTCTTTTTCATCTTCACTTTTTCCAACCTTGCAATTCATTTCACTATGATAATTAGTGAATAAGTTCTTGCTTTAGGATGTTAGCAGAATATATTGGTGAAAAACAAATGCTGGCAGTGGTTTGCAACGACCATGCCACTGTTGGTGCCTCAAAGATGTACAGGAAGAACCATGGACCCGTGATTAGTGCAGACTCTTTGTATGCATTGGCCAAGAATCTTGGAATCTCCATCAATGCAGGATATGATGTCATATGCCTCAACGATATAAGGTGAACCAAATTTTTAACGTGATCTTAATTACAACTTTCACGATTAACTTTGTCCCAAATTTGTTTGTCACTTACAGTTTATAAGGTTTGACAGAAGATAGTATTACCTGAGTAGCGTTCATATTAGGCCGGCCTAATGGCTATCAAGCCAACTCTGTCATTGAACAAAAATAAGGTTTATGATGCAATTTTTCAATTCATAGTATCAACTATTAGTTTTAACCATTAGATCTTAATTTTGTTCGAAAGTGAACCTTTCAACCTCATTTCTTCACCTCTAACCATTTATCTAACGGTTAATAATAATCTATCATAAAAATCATATTTAAGTTCGGAAATGTTTTAAATTTTTTGATGATGTAGCGATTGGAACTAATAAAATGAGTTTGCTTAACGGGATTCTTGTCATACCGGCCTCAATGAACATTTTCCTTGTTAGCTTTCCTTATAACTAAAGATTATTTATTCAGAGCAAAAGTTATTTGTAGGTGCAAAAGCAGAATTTGAATGTGATAAAAATGGATACAATCGTAGAAATAATTAGAAAATAATAAGAAAATCTTGATCGTGTGGAAAAAAGAAATAAGGATGTTTTTACTTGGACTGAAATTTGCTGGTCTGTTCTGGTCTGTTTAAGTTTGGTCTGTTCTGGTCTGGTAAATGTCTGATCCTTGTGTATTTTATAACTATGAAAGTCTGGTCTGAACTGGTCTGGTAACGTCTGTGATGGAAAACAGTCCAAGTAAACACATCCTAACGTGAAGATTGGTTTCTTGTGCAGGCCTTACACGGGTGAGATTATTGCTGATCCCCAAAGAAAGCTAGCAATAGCTGATCCCACTTTGCCTAATGGAGACACTCCTCTCGGGTTTCTGGGCTATGCTGTCAATATGATACATATACCTGCAAATCATTTGCAATACAGGACTGCCTCCGGTAATGCTCTTCGTGAGACATTGTTTTATCGGCTCCTCGGGGATCTCCAAGTCTATACCGACAGAGATCATATGAGCATGGCTGCTTCCTGCATCAACAGCAGCAGACCTGCTCTTTCTTTAGATGGACTCATTATGAGAGGAAATGGTGTCACTTCCCTTGTCTTAGGGTATGTATGTATGTTAGTAGAAGATTACCATATATATATATATATTGAAAAGAAAAATAATTATATATTTTTAACGTAAAAGCTATAACTTTCTATTGTGTTTTCAGTATGAATATATGTTCAGTCTTTCTGGTCATGATTTCTATACATGTTTGTTCATTGTCTTCTGTATTAGGGATCCACATATTAAGTTTCCGGTCATTCCAAGGGAGAAGCATGTTTTGACCATGAATCCCGACGTGATAGATCTGCTGGAGTCTGTGAGGATGCAGCTAAAGGAGGTTGAAGCTGATTTAGAAAAGAAAAGAAGGGTTTTTGTGGAGCTCAATGCAAAGTTTTGCAGTTGCCAAACTGCATATTTGAAGTTTCTCCCAAGAGAAGCCAGCAATCAATGACATGAAGATAGGTGTTTGAAGCAGTCGGTAAAATCAAAAGCAATGTGAAGTAGGGAAGTGTACATATAGATAGATAGATAGCTAAGGAGGGGATTTCAAGGATGGATGGGGATCTTGAATTTTGAGATCTTATGGTTTAGTTCTCAGCTCCTCGTTGCTAAAACAAAACATGAAATGTATTTTGGGAGGACTGGACGGTTCCCTTATTCTTGGAGGATTGGTCAGCCGGAGCACCTTGTGATTATCCTAATAGAAAAAGTATTTTGATGAAACAGCAATAGCATGTACTCCGTAGTTGCTTTATCAAAATATAAAATTTAATTGTCCACACCTCTAATAATCTCATACAAGCGTACGGCATATTTTAAAATAAAAGATACTTCTAAATATATACATAGTAAAATTTACACTAGACATGTTGCCCCTCATCTTATAGAAAAATCACCAAACTAATTGATAAACACAAAGTAAGAAGCTACAAAATTCATACGAATAATAATTTCTACTCATAAATTCTATAATAATAATGTAATCCCTACTCAGAGACTTCACAAAAATAACCTAAACTAGCAATGATATTTATAAGAACAAACTTCTTACCCCATTGTGCCTTCCCTAGTCTTCTTCCCGGATATTCTTTCTATATTTGGAGTTAATTTGTTATTTCATTTATCTCTTACGTAGTATTTTCTTGTCATTTTTATCTGCATACACTTTTTTGAGCTAAGCAAGTTTCCCTTCTTCCTCAAATGTTCATCATTTTCTGGTCATGAATTTTACTAAGCCTCTTAATCTTATCAAGGGAATCCAGAGGCTGCAAGATTTTGACATTTAAAATATATTCAAAATTGGGAAAACTGTCAAATAGGTCCTTGAAGTTTCATAAAAAGGTCAATTAAGTCCTTCTATAGGAGGTTCTGTCCGGCCGTCGCGATTTGGGGCAGTTTCCGGTGGAATATTTTGATTATTTTTTTTGAGCATCTTATTCACCAAGTCTAGTTTACTCATACCAAATTTCAGCTAAAAATTCAATCGGGAACACATTCAAATTAATTCTTGAAGATAAGTGCGCATTCTTGCGTTCTCGAATTAATTTGAATGCGCTCCCGATTAAATTTTTAGCTGAAATTTGGTATGAGTAAACTAGACTTGATGAATAAGATGCTAAAAAACTTTCATCAAAAAATTCCACCGGGAACCGCCCCAAATCGCGACGACCGGACAGATTCTGCTATAGAAGGACTTAATTGACTTTTTTATGAAAGTTCAAGGACCTATTTGACAGTTTTTCCTTCAAAATTTAATGTTCTCAAACGGTAGTAAGAAGAAAATGACATACTCCATATTTTTTTAAAATCGAGCCCTTTGAGACAACAGAAAGTGGCACGGTTATTAATAAAAGTGGGTTTATGTGGTTGATATTGAATTGATAAAATAAGAATAAAGTAGGAATGATTTAGAACCACACAAACTTTACCAAATAAGGTATGAGACAATTTTAGTGAGACGGACCAAAATGGTAAAATGAGACAATGATAGTGGGACGGAGGGAGTAATGGACTAAAACAAATTTCATATGATTTATTTTTATGAATGCCATAATGTGTTGTGTTTTCTTAGGTAGGTGTTTTTCTTTTTTTATGGAAAATTCTTTGTGTGTATGTTTTTGTACACATTTCTCAAATTTTATTTGTATGAATGTAATAATCCCTCCGTCCTCTTAACTTTGTCCCGTTTTACTTTTTTCGTCTGTCACATTAAGTTTGTCTCATACTATAATTGATAATATTTGGATAGTTACAATTCGTTCTTATTTTATTTACAATTTATCAATTCAATACCAACCACACAATTATATTTTGTAACAGTGTTTTGTCCCAAACATGTAGGTTTTATCCCAAAATTTGGATGGTACATACTCCGTACCATTTTTTGGCCAACTTGTTTGTTGTGTATAGAGAAAAAGGTAAGAAGTGTAATATCCCCTTTTTACTGTCTTGATTATGTTTTCCTATACAACCAACATAAAAAGGAAACATCATACTCTATTTGCGCTTCTCTCAATTCTTAGAGCATCTTCAATGGTACAATGTGCACGGTGCATACGTGGCATGAGAGATGACCACATAAATATTAGTAAATAAATTATTTCTCTCCTTATTTGAATGATTTTATACAGTTTTGGTAATTTTTCTCCACAATGTCAAGGAGACCGTCTAATGTTGACATTGTTGTTGACATTGTAGGGGAAAACTTACCAAAATTATATAAAATCACTCAAATAAGGAGAGAAATAATTTATTTGCTAATAATTATGTGGCTATCACTCATGCCACATGTGCACCGTGGACATTATAGCATTGGAGTTATAGCAATGGACATTATATACAGCATTGTTGGCTATCACTCTATGTTTCAATCCTGCTCTCTTTTCTAATTCAAAACTTTTCGCTACCCTCTCCCTATTACCATATACGTAGTATATCCGTGTGAAGTTGACAATTTTTCTGGACTTGGTTCATATCCTACTCATACAGTCATACTATTGTATTAGCTAAAGGTAATTAGTTATGGCTTCTGCGATGAGGTTGAAATTGTGCAGTGAGAAAGCTTCTGCACCTGCTTCTTACATCAGAAACTGCATCATCAACAATATGCAAGGTGGGCGCTTTTTTACTTTAGGACGGGATTCAAGTACGAATTCGAAGAACTACTTCACACACCCCCGCCACAGTTTCGAATTGTCCAAGCCAGTATGGGCTCGCCGAGAATTCGTTGACAGAGGGTATGATAATTCAAGAAATCTTTCTCATTTGAGGAAAATTGACAATTCTAGCTCTTATGGGGATCCACCGGAAATTTGGCAGCCTCCCGGAGATGGGATTGTTGTCCGACCGGGTGTCAAGTTTGTTCAGGCGGGCGAAGTGGAAGGTTCGGGTTCAGGCACTGGTGGGGGGTTCATGCCAGGTTCTAAAGATGGGCGTTGGGGAGGGTCCAATTTAGGCTCGAGTTTCCCAACACCCAAGGAAATTTGCAAAGGGCTCGATAAATTTGTCATTGGCCAGGAGAAGGCTAAGAAGGTCATCATTTATTAGCTTGCGATTCTTCTATATTGCAATATACTATGCAGTGCTAATAATCAAATATTAAAATGCAACAAAAAGTTCTTTTTTTCCACAAAAAATCTGTAGATTCTTCCCCTTTCAATTATTTGGCATTTCAGTTTCCAAATTGGGGTGATTGTTTTGCAGTTTAGTAAAGATTTATTTGATTTTTTGTTTGATTTTTTAAAATGCAGGTCCTCGCTGTTGCTGTATATAATCATTATAAGAGAATCTACAATGACTTTGCTGAGAAGTGGTTAGTTTTAAATTATCATTTATGCCAAATAGTTGTTGCTCTTTACTATGTGCATACATTGAAAGTGCTTCAGAGTAATGCAGATTGCACATGACTAGCTGTATTCTGTGAACAAGAACTTTTCCTACTATTCAAAATCCAAGAACAAGTAAAAAGTAAAAACAAAACTTTTTTTCCTCTAATGCTTGTCATTACAATCCAATAATGCTTGTGGTAAGGTAGGGACCCTGAAAAAAATGTCAGTGACATGTCGAAGGAAAATGAAGAAGAGGTTGTAGAGCTGGAGAAGAGTAATATTCTTTTAATGGGTCCAACAGGCTCAGGTAATACTTTCCATTTCATTGTTTTTAGATTATCATTTGCTTTCTTATTTTTTAAAACTCACATTCCTGTGTTCATACTTCATTGTCATTGATAGTGTTGACATTTCTTTCTTTATCTTACTTGGGTACTTAAGTACTTTCTTCACTTGGGTAATTTTTGAAGGACAGGAAAAACTTTACTAGCCAAGACCTTGGCACGATTGGTTAATGTTCCCTTCGCGATAGCAGATGCGACTACACTTACACAGGCAAGTCCTTGTCTTGTTATCTTATTTGGCGCTGAAATCATTTACTGTTAGCTTACATTTTTCCATACATTACTAGTTTACTACCTTGGTTGTATTAGATTAAACTTATTTTTAAGTTTATTACATTGTATATTTTAATCACATTCTGCAGGCAGGGTATGTTGGGGAAGACGTAGAATCCATTCTATATAAACTTCTCACGGTAAGTAGTAGATCCCTCACCTCTAATACGTTGCAGTAAGAAATTATCTAACTTTTTTATTATTATTTTTGAATGAATGTAAAACGTGGTGTAATGTTATTTCAGGTTGCTGACTATAATGTGCAAGCTGCTCAGCAGGGAATAATATATATTGATGAAGTTGATAAAATAACAAAGAGGGTGATGTAACAAGTTTGGTCCTCGAACTGTTCTTATTGAATAATGCATGAAATTAGGCTAATTACTTTCTATGAATTGTGTTTCTACAGGCTGAGAGTCTTAACATCAGTCGAGATGTTTCAGGGGAGGGTGTCCAGCAAGCATTATTAAAAATGCTTGAAGGAACAGTAAGTGTTGCATCTATGATTCAATTAGTGGCAATGGACTCTAATTGTTATGTCAGCTCTGATTTCGGAATAGTTCAACAACCATACTTGAGTGAAGAGAGGAGCTATTTTTCCTTTCATTACAAACCCTTGAAGTTCATGAACATATCATGGCTAACCAAAGTGACTGGTTCTTCTTTGTTGTATCTGTTTTTTTCAAACTGAAGTCATCTTCCGTTGCAGATTGTAAATGTACCTGAAAAGGGAGCTCGGAAGCACCCTCGCGGTGATAACATCCAGGTGTGTTTAGCAGACAATAATTTATTTCTTATCTGTAAATCTTTTACTTTTGAATGGAAGATATGCTATTATGCATAGCTAATAGTAGTCAGGTTAAATGGTTGAAGGATGAATAGATATAATCCTTGTCCACTTTTCTGTTGTGTTAGCATAATATTAAGTCAGCATAATATCATATGCTATTATATGTTTATATTTCCTTTTGAAGGATGAATTGATTCCAGATTTCCAGTAGCATTTCACTTTTCCCTTGAACTGAATAATCCTTGTCCACTTTTCTGTTGTTCATCATGCTTTAAATAAGTCCCGATAAAGTCATGCCATTTTTTTATTTTTACAGATCGACACAAAGGACATCCTCTTTATATGTGGTGGTGCCTTTGTTGACTTAGAGAAGACAATCTCAGAAAGGTCATAAATACCGTTGCATGATATATTATTCATCATTCTTTTTTTTCAATCTGGCTACTTATACATTTTGAAACATTACCAGACGTCAAGATTCCTCCATTGGCTTTGGGGCACCAGTACGCGCAAACATGAGGACAGGCAGTTTAACAAGTGCTTCAGTGACCTCATCTTTATTGGACTCTGTATGAGTTTGTATATTCATATTCTTTAACCGAAACATTATATTAGAGCTTACACACAGTCACACACCTTCGCGTTTGAGTTTTTCTGCTCCGTACTTTATTGGGTTTTTGAATATCGAAACCTAGGGGAAATGGTCTTTTAGGACATACTTAGTTTTTCTCTCCACTATTAAACTACAATTTCTATCTATAAATATAAGCCACTCCCCTACACGTGTAAGCAGCTTTTATATCAATGAAATGTGTGTAAACTAATGCTGTAAAAGATAAGAGAAACAAAAGCGCTTATATGGGACTTGGGCTTGTTTTGTTACTACATTTATAATCACTTGATACAAAAATGTTTATATATAAATCTATATTTTCTTTACATTTAAATTTAGCTGGAGTAACATTGGTCCGACTATGTCTAGTGCATCTCTCCGAAGATGAGTGGTGTGCTTATTTACTCCTTTCCTCTGACTCATATTTTTTTCATGCATTGTTGTGAAACAGGTTGAAAGTAGTGATTTGATTTCATATGGTTTGATACCGGAGTTTGTTGGACGGTTTCCTATTCTTGTTAATTTATCCGCTCTTACTGAGAATCAACTTGTACAGGTAATACGAGATGTTTTGTGAAGTTTGTATTCTAGAAAAAGTGTTGCTTATTATCTACATATTTTCACTTGTTCACTTGAAAACTACGATGCTAGCAGAAATGCTGTCTGGTTTGTTGTCACATTGAGATCCTTACAGTTATAGTTATACTGGCTTAATTGTTTTGAAAAGAAACTGAATGCTTCTCATTTACATATATTCATGTCTGTATCATTAATAACATATTAGTCTTTCCTGTCAACCATAGATGAAAATGTGGCGACTTTTCTTCTTATACACCTAAGACGAATCGAATCAACCATTAGGTAAACTAAAGTCAAGTTCAGTCAAACAAAAAAACTTCTGCATTAGGCAGTGCTGTTGGTGAAAATCAGAAATATTAGTGACAAAAGATCACATTCAGACTTGTGTTTGTTCATTTTGTGGATCAAAATGATACCATGCAAGGTGGTAGGTTTTTCTTGGATGATGGTTGGCAATTTGGCGCCAATGATTCTTCGCATACACAAATTATACACTATCTATCTATGGCTTATATTTTAAATCACCCCCAAGTGTTCAAGAATTTACTCGATGTGCTTCTGAATATTCTTGCAAAGTGATGCATATCTCCACTGTGATCTGTTTCAATTTCTTACTTCTAGCACCTTGGTTAATTATTTCTTTCTGGATCTTCAAAACCTTCTGTTATTCTTTCAAGAAAGCTTAAAAGACCCTCTATTAGCCCCACCATAGAATATGTAGTCACAGTTGAAAGTTTATTTCATTTACAAATCTGATGGCTGTTTAATACAAGAAGTTTTTTTATGTGCTTAGTTTGCCCTAGGTAGTTCCTGACTTCCTCCAGTAATTTACTAATATTCCTTGAGTCCATCTGTAAAAGAAGTTTGCAATGCTCGAGTACACACTTGCACAGACATATACATAATGTGTCCAGGGAAAACAAGCCCTTTTCTCCCTTTACATAGTGATACCGTCAATGTGAAACAGTCTAATCCTTTATGCCGATACTTATGGCTTCTTCTTCTGTGGTGGAAAGGAGGGGAGTGCAATAGAAGGAACCTTCATACAGAGCAAAGTTTCGGGTGTAATATTGGAATAGAAGTAGATTATTATGTGTTTTCTTAAAACTAATGCCAAATGCAAGTAAGGCCCTTGATACGAGACACATAGAGTAGTGAACAATGTACCACATACAAATTACTGGCTCTCTTATTTCCCCCCTTTTAATATATTATACTCCATAAGTCTATATTCCATAGTTTTCTTGCATAGTAGGAGTCTGATCGATGGAATTTACTCTTCAACATCAATCAATTTGTTGATATTAGGAAGAACCATGTGTGTTTCTTCACCCCCAGTCCCCTCTCAGACACGAAAACATCAATGGCTCAACCAGACGCATCCATGAACTAAGCTGTGGTCACCTACTACTTCACTTTTAAATCTTGCTTATCCATGTTGCATTGTTAGATGGCTGTTGGCCTAATTGGAATAGTAATTGGGCTCCTGAATAGAGTTGCAGACTATGTGTATCAGTGGAGTCTGAATACTTCAAGCCATTGTGGTTTTAGGCAATGAAAGTGTGTAGTACTTGTTTTAGTTTTAGATATTAACAACAGACAAATACAACAACAACAACAACAACATTACCCCAATGCCGCAAAGGCTCCCACCAACGGTGGGGTAAGGGGGGGTCGAATGTACAACAGACAAATAACAAAGAATTTTTAATTCAAGGGGCTATAAATGGCCAATAATTATATATATATATATATATATATATATATATATATATATATATATATATTAGAGCCTTAGGGGTTTGACCATCAAGATGATGAAACAAGAAAGGAAAAAGTTCCTCTAATTAAAATTACACAGTAAATTATAATTTGCACCCCACTTTTCATCCAAACTTGAGTTGCACGGTTGCACCCCGTTTTTGAATTCATTACTATTTGCACCCGCATGTTTGGAAAATCTGTAAGTATGGGGTGAAACATAGAAGAAAAAATGAGGCTTATGCTATGATTTTTTGGGTGTAGCCGTGTAGGTATTTAATGATTTAAAAATTGGGGCGCAAAGCCGCAAGCCCAAATATAGATGAAGAACGTGGGGTGCAAATCCAATTTCCACTGAATTATATTTATGTACTTTCATTTCTTATAATGGTTACAACTTACAAAGACCTCTCTTTTTGTAATTGCTCCGCTTCTTATGATTCATCATCATCATCATCATCATCACCCCAGTGCCGCAAAGGTCCCACCTACGGTGGGGTAAGGGGGGGGGGGTCGGATGTACGCAGTCTTACCCTTGTACTAAAGCACAGAGAGACTGTTTCCGAATGACCCATAGTGAAAATCGCTTCGAAAAATGCATAGACTGACTGTTACTCCATAACAAAAAAGCGCAGACAGTTTAGTGAGCCATTTTGCTTTATTCCATCATATTCCCAAGCCAAAAAACAGTGAGTCTCTGTCTTCATTGAAAATGATGAAACAAGAAAGGAAAAAGTTCCCCTAATTAAAATTACACAATAAATTATAATTTGCACCCCACTTTTCATCCAAACTTGAGTTGCATGGGGTACAAATTTGCTGTATGATTCCCAAGCCATTTTGCTCCGCTTCTTTTGATTCTTATCAATAATTGTCCCGAGGTATGGTTCTATCCCTAAAAACTGTACTTGTGTTTATAATACTACCTCTGAGACTAATCCCCCCCCCCCTCTCTTCCAGGTTCTAACAGAGCCAAAAAATGCACTGGGGAAGCAATACAAAAAAATGTTCCTAATGAATAATGTAAATTTCTATACCTGTGATCAGTTTTCTCTAGACACGGGAATTCCATCTTTATTTGTTTTTCACTTAAACAACATTCATATCACAACGATGCTACTATTCACTTGTCAGGTAAAACTGCATTTCACTGAAGAAGCTTTGAGATCAATTGCTAGAAAAGCAATAACTAAGAATACAGGTGCTCGTGGATTGAGATCCATATTGGAGAGTATTTTGATGGATGCTATGTATGAGGTGCGCAACACACATCACTAGCAACCATTTTAAGAACTTAGTTCATAACTACTACCTGCTCCTACTAACATTGAGACATGAGGGGTGGCACACCTTTTAACTTTTAAGAAAGGTGGGTTTATGTGGTTGATTGAATTGATAAAGTAAGAATAAAGTAAGAATGATCTAGAACCACAAAACTTTACCAAATTTGGTATGAGACCATCTTAATGGGACGGACCGAAAACGAAAGATGAGAAAATCTTAGCGTGACAGAGGGAGTATTATTTTTTCTACCTTGGGTTCTTTTTTATTACTTATCCCGTGAAACAACCAGAAATTGTATGGACCAAAAGTGACAAAAGCGGGAATGACCTATATGGGTAGATGGTTTGAAGGGGCATAAGTGACACTTTTTTTAGTCACACACCAAAAAGGTAGCCTAGTGCACATTGGCATCCCTGTAAGGCGAGGTTCCAGGAAGGGTCCCACAAGTGGTAAATGGAAGTTGGGGAACAAAAGCAGGAATGATCTAATAGTCGTGGGACCAACATTGAAATATTTTCGTGACTCTGCGAATGAATGAATTGGGGCAAAAAAATTGCTGTACAGATCCCTGATGCTAGGACTGGTGATGATGTCATTGATGCGGTTATAGTTGAGGATGAGGCTGTAGGGCACGAGGGGGTTGGATTTGGGACTAAAATCCTTTATGGTAAGGGAGCATTGGATTGCCATCTCTCACAAAATAAACAAAAGGAGACCAAGGTATGTCCATTATTGCCCATATTTAGCATTCAATTGCATCTTACCTTTTACCCAATGGTTCACTAATAGTTCTATTCTCAGCTGCAGAAAATTGTGGACAGCCCCGATGCAGATATCGTAGCAGCAGAACAAGATCTTCCATCTATAGTTGCTTTATAGATGAATATACACATTTTGAGGTCTCATCTATGTACATAATCTGATACCCAAATGCCAAAACATATGCTAACTTAATGCCCGATTATATGTTGTGGTTTAGTGTTGTTTTCTCCCCTTTTATGTGTTTTTGTTCATTTATATAAATAAGTCATTTTTTGGGACCAAGGTTTAGATGTTGTTGTATATGATAAGTCCTCTACTGCCCTACTTTTACTCTGCTCTATTTGTCGAATTAGTCAAAAGAATATACTATCCTAACTTCGTAAGAGGGGAACGCTCGGGTTTAGTCCTGAACTTTTTAATGGTGTACATAGACTACGAATTCCATTGACATTTTTTATTATGTATTGATGTATTGATTTTTCTCAATTTATTATATGTAAGTAATGTAACTTGCCTAACTGTCAATGTTTTTGTCAAACATGGAAACTTAACATGGAATCATCCGTGGACCAAGCTACATTCTTTTTATGTCACAAACTATCTCTTTTTTAGATGGATTGCTTCAATTTTTTTGCACAGAAATTAACTTCAATTAGCAATATTGATGACTGTACTTGTATCACTTTTTTCTTCTCCATAGAAATGATTCATGCACGTATAAACCTCTCTTTCGTAGACAACTCTTTAATATTTCAACCAATGGATAGTTAAATGAAGTGAGGAAAAAATGTAAATTATTAAATACTTCGTAATAAATATGAAGAATTTTGGGTAAAACGACACTTATTTTCTTTTCATTTAATTGTGTTTGACACTTGCAGTTAAATGAGTAGTCTAAAATGTATATGCAATGGCTAAATGCACCAAAACTTTTCATTGCAGATCATAAATGTTTTTAGACAAAATACACATTAAGTAAATATATTACCCTTTCATCTTCTGCCTGATAAATGTATTTACTTAAGGTGTAAATACACTAAGTAAATACATTGTCCAAACATTGGTTCTCATCGCAAATCAGATTAGATCAGATTAAAACAGATTAGATCAGACTAGATCATACTTTGATGGTTGTAAAACACATATAGAACAAAAATATACCGTCTGGGTTTAGGTCATACCAGACTACAAAATTTCAGACTTAAACAAATCAGACCGACTAGATCAGATCTGAAAATTTTCAACCCAGTTATAAACATCCTTAAAATTTTCATATTCTTATCACATGACTTGGGATGTTTTTAAAATGATTGAAAATTTGTGGTCTGATCTCGCCTAATTTTTTTAGGCCTGATTTAGTCAGGTCAACAACCTTACCAGATAGAAAACTTCAGTCTGTATTATATTCGTGGGAAATTAGCACTTTTGTACCTTTATAAAAAAATTAAAAGAAAATAATTTCATTTACCAAAAAAATAAACAAAGAATAGCTCCATATAATTTTCATACTTTAAATATTTTGGTATTAAGAAAATCATTGGTCAATATAACCAAGTTTTATGAAATAGGAGATTATAATATTAGGAATTAATTAGATCAATTATTTAATTTCAGAAACATAACACTCATAAAAAATTTATATTAAGATGCATACATGGATTTAGAAAAACCTTGTCTACGTTCATATATTATTTGTTCTAAGATTGAAATTTGTAAACTCTTCTAATTTCTAAGTGGCTTATAGCTTGCCAAATGCCAACTAATGATTACTACTCCCTCTGTCTCGCTATGATTATCCGTTTTACCTTTTCGGTCCGTCCCACCAAGATTGGTACCTACCTTATTTGGTAAAATTTGTGTGGTTTTAAATCATTCTTACTTTATTCTTACTTTATCAATTCACTATCAACCACATAAACACACTTTTATTAAAAATCGTGCCAACTTCTTCACTCTTATTAAAAACCGTGCCACCTTCTCTTGTCTCAAACTTAGGGGGACGGAGGTAGTAGTATACTTTAACTTACAAACATTGAGCCTAATACGGAGTACTCCTTCCGTCCCATTTTACTTGTCCTACTTTCTTTTTTGGGCTGTCCCAAAATAAGTGTCTACTTTCCTCTTTTGGAAAGAAATATTTGGTCTACACCATTTCACTTTATTATACTCAAACCTCAACCACAACTTTTACTTTTTCAACCACTTCATTAATAACCGTGCCAAGTCAAACTAATGATGTTTTTACTTGGACTGTAATTTGCTAGTCTGGTCTGGTCTGGTCTGGTCTGGTCTGGTCTGGTCTGGTCTGGTCTGAACTGGTCTGGTCTGGTCTGGTAAGGTCTGGTTTCTTTGTATTTTATAACTATCCAAGTCTGGTCTGGTCTGGTTTGAACTGGTCTGGTCTGGTCTGAACTGGTCTGAACTGGTCTGGTCTGATCTGAACTGGTCTGGTCTGGTCTGGGGTAAATTACAGTCCAAGTAAAAACATCCTAAGACACATAAAATGAGAGGGAGATAGTATTTCCAGACATTCAGACAAGCTACACTAGCGATTCTAAATTCTTTTTATTCTCTAATAAAAAATGGATGAGAACCAAATTTCACCGAAGAGTGGAGAGTAATTAATTGTGTGTGAAGTAAATTCCATCTAAAGTAACCGAAAGAAAAGGATAAAGAAAGGACCCTCGTGGAAAGAAGAAAGGAGATGGAGCGGAGGAGAAGAAAAGAACATCTTTTCTTTTCAGTGAAAAGGTGTCCCCTCTGCTTGTTTCCACTTTCTTTTTAGAATAGATTTTTTTTCCAAACAATTCTTTCGACTCTTCTTTCTCTTTCTTTTTCTGAGATCAGAGGAGAATTTGAGGGAAGAGTCAAGATAATGCATCCACCTAAAATACCCAATTCCCAGAAACGATTTTGTAGAATAATAACCGGTGAAGATTGCTAAAAGAAGGGTGGGTGTTTGATATTCAGATCTTCAGAACCATGGATATTGAAAGCATCCATTGCGTGTCATCATCGGACGGCATGTCCGAGGAAGTGATCCAATCGTCTGTAATCGCTCACCATCCGTACACCTCTTCGACTAAGCCTCCGGCTAGCATCTTTTCCTCAGGAACAGCACCCACCAGTGTTCATGAGTTGCTGGAGTGTCCTGTTTGTACCAATTCTATGTACCCGCCAATTCACCAGGTCTGTAATGCTGGCACCTTATTTATGCATCTTCTTGTAATAAACAAGTTGTCTCCTTTTCCTGTCATTATCTTTCCTATGAACTATGATTGTGGATAGGTTTTTTGCTCTTATGGCTTGGGTGGTTCGGGTGATTCTGAGGGAGGGGAATGGGGGAAATCAGAAATGATAACAATAGTTTTAAATTATATTTAGATTTAGAAGGCTGGAAACAAAGTGAAGATTATAAGCTAGGCCTAGCTGATCAATGATCATACGGTCATTTTTAGTGTAAAAATAACAAATAGATTTAAATTAGTAAAATGAAAATCAATTATCTCCTCTCCATCCTCCAAAATCCGGAATCATGCAAGCCCATTTGTGGCCGTGCTTGTGTTTGTTTTGCTGTGTGTGCTAAATTTGAGCCTGTCATGAAATTAATTGTCTTTTTAGTTTGAGAATAGCTAATAGTTGAGAAGAATATCTGGAGGTGTTTTAGTTTGTGAAACTAATTCTGATTTCTGATAGAAGCTTAAAAGGCTTTTGCCCCCTAAATTAATGGTGTTTTACATGTTTGATAACTGCTTTTGCGCTCCTTTGTTTCCTTTCATGCAGTTACCACACTCATATGGATGCATGATTAAGTTTGCTAGTCATATACTCCTTATTAGGAATCTCTGAAACTATGAATGTTTTAGTCACAATGTTCCCTTAATAGTTTATTCAAACAAGTCATTTATGGACTTTCTCATTGATGACCCCAACATATCTTTTTTCTTTTCCTTCAATTGATCAATACTTGACCATCGGGCTAAAAGAACATACAATAGTATGTTTTTGCTCAAATTTTACTTTATGTCATTTTCCACTCATCAGTATATTTGTAATATTATTTCTTTTTCTTCTCAAGTGTGTAAGTTTTCAATTTGATATGAAGGATTAGTTACTACTACAATTTGGTTGATTTGTACTTTTCCCATTACAAGTCATTGTGTTTGAAGGTATTAACAACTAGTTTAATGAAAATGTGCATTTGCAGTGTCAAAATGGTCACACACTGTGTTCTACTTGTAAGACAAGGGTTCACAACAGATGTCCAACTTGCAGACAAGATCTTGGAGATATTAGATGCTTAGCTCTAGAGAAAGTTGCAGAGTCTCTTGAGCTTCCTTGCAAATACTTTTCATTGGGATGTGCAGAAATATTTCCATATTACAGCAAGCTTAAACACGAGTCAGTTTGCAATTTTAGACCATACAATTGCCCGTACGCTGGGTCAGAGTGCTCAGTTACTGGGGACATCCCTTGTTTGGTTTCTCATTTAAGAGATCACCACAAGGTTGACATGCACTTGGGATGCACATTCAACCATCGATATGTGAAGTCTAATCCGCGAGAAGTAGAAAATGCCACTTGGATGCTGACTGTAAGTGGATCAGTTTCTCTATTCTTCTATGTTAGAGAATAGTAAAGTTATTTTCTTAGGTTTATATTTGGTCTATGCCTTTATTAATCCCAAATATATATAACCCAATCTCATAAGTTTATGTATTTACCAATGAGTTTTCTGACATAGGGTTACTGAACTCATAGACCAAATTACTACCCCAAATATGCAAGCACACATATATGCTTCGAACTGCATTTCTCATTTCAATCATACATAGATCAGCTGAAAATAGGGAAATCATGTGTTGAGTCTAAAGCTGTCAAAATGAGCTGAGGCCCGTGGACTGGACTGCGTTAACCTTGTTTAAGAATGGGTCAGGGTTGTATTTTAGAGCCTGATTGTTTTGTGGGTCAGCCACATGGGTTGCAGGTTAGCCAATGTGGATTGTCACCACCCCACAGGAAAAAGCATATATAGTAAATACTCCCCAAGTATCTTTGGCAAATGAGGATGTGACACTCATACTAAGAAAAATAGAATTATGTGGTTCATATTTGATTTGTAAGTATGAATGAGTATGAAACAAACGGACTGAAGGAAGGAGTATTAATTAATAGTATTCATATTTCATCAGAATTAAGAGTGAATAGTCTTTAATATGCTATTATGCTATTAATAGCATAATAGCATGTTTGACTTTAATTTTTTCTTCCCATAGCACTTAGTAGTATAGACTTTAATTATTTAAAAGGATTTTCCCTGTTATCTTGGCTGGCAAAGCTGATAGTTTTAAGTGGATTAGGTTAGGGCCTTAAATTTTTTGGCCTGCCGTTAACTCGTTAGGTGAGGTTGGCCTGACCTGTGAAACATGTAGCCCCCATGGGCC